GCTTTAGGGACCTCACATAAGACTTCCTGGTTTCTTAACCTTTGCTACAGTGCTAACAACTATTCCCCCTGCCCCAAACTTTCATTCATTCAAACATTTATGCCAGGTCCCTTTCATACCTGACTTTGTGTAAAGATATTAAAGAACCATAATAATATTATCCTTGTTCTCTAAAAGCTTAGTGTATTGGGGCTAGAGTCTTTATTTTGGCCTAAGGAGCTTCAAGAATTATAAGCCAGAAAAAGGCTCAACGGAAGACAGTCTATTTTTTGGCCATTTTTGTTGGCTAACACTGTAACCTAGCAGTTCCCACATGTTGGTTTGAGAACTGGGACCAATCTGTGGAAACTAAGACAACATAGTCTAAGATAAAGACAACATAGTATATCATGACACTAAACATCTGTAATTTATTCGGAGATAATATTGTTTTCACTCTGGAGATACTAAAATGTCCTTTAACATTCTTGATGTTTTGAAAAGGGAAAGTGTCTTGACATTAAAATACAGTTAACACGCATATGTCAGTTTCCCATTAACTCTTTAAAAAGCTCACCCTTCAAATCGAGTAGGCTCCTCATAGCTACACAGAAAGGACTTGCTGGGGCCAGGGACAATCTGGTTATAGTGGGGTTTAGACTCTCTTCAAAGTCACATTTGCATGGCTCTTTAAGACAGGGTGATCACTGTGGGGGCGGGGGCGGCGATGGGGAACTGGAGGATTGAGGCGTTGGCAATGAATTAGATCCCCAGCTCTTTTTTATTTTGTATTTTGAGATAGGCTCTTACTGAAGTTCTAAGTTGCCCAGGCTGGGCTCAAGCTTGTAGCCACCCCCACCGCCAGCCCCAGCCTTCCAGAGTGCTCGGATCATAGGTGTGAGCCACCATGCCAGGCTACCAATTGTTCTTAATAAAAATGGGGAGAGCTGATGGGAGGATTTAGATACCCCTCTCGATACCACGTAACTATGCACGTCTATAGAAGCATTCCACAATCGTCCTCAACCTCTTTGCTGGGCCTTGGGGACAGTGGTATAATATGGTTCATTGTGTGGAGTTTAAGGGGTTAAAAATCACTGGGAGAGAAAGTCCTTGAACCCCTATGGCTTTGGCTTTTTTTTTTTTTTAAGCAGGGTGCTTTCCCCTTTGGAACACTCCTTCCTGTGCACATCATCTTGGTGCTGCCCTGGAGAGGAAGGGATGCATCCCTCCTGAGGGATTCACCCTGCCCAAGAAGGACCCAGAGGGCACGGCTTGGGCAGCCTGCTCTTGGTCCCAAAGCTTGCCTCGGAGGCTCTTTTCCTTGGTTTATCTTTACACCTCTCCTCTCCAGGTTACAGGAGAGTGAGCTCTGGCAAGTGTAGGAGAGGTGGCGGCTGCATTCTGTGGAGCCTGAGGTCAGAGGGGCTCGGAGCCCCTGCAGTCCAACTCCCCTTGCCTGGTCTCTTTGTTCTTTGATGTCCCTGCATATCTCTCTGCTGGTTCTCCCTCTGCTGGTGCCGATCTTGTCCTTGGTCCACACTGTACCTCTCTCTGGGCAGCCCTTGCACTCAGGGCTTAGCTACTAATCCCTGTGCTGAAGGCTCCAGTGGCGTCATTGATCTCCAGATACACATTTTCCACTTCTCATATTCCACCTGGCTAGCTGTCTCCAACGCTCAGAAGTGTCCCAAACAGAATTCACCATCTTCTCCAAGCCTGTGTCACTTCCTTTACATCTCACAGTATGTTTTCAGTAGTCAGGTAGCATGCCATTTATAGAAACAGCACAAAAAGCAAAATAACTAGCTAAACTTTAAAAAGAAATCACACCAGCAAAAATAATTTAAGACATCTTTTCAAAGCTAAGGTACTCAATGTCCCTAATCTGCCTAAGTCAATAAACATTTTGGACACATGAATATATTTTCCTTCCTGAATGAACATTCTCACTGGAGTGTACTTCTGAAAGATATCCCAGTAAACCCTCTCATCCCTGGGCACCGCTACAGGCAGGGCACAGAACAAAGAGGTACAATTCTGTACAAAAAGAAAAAGCCCTAAGGTCAGTGTGGACTTGGGACGCTGTCCCAAATCGCTTTACTATCTTTGCTAAATTCCCATGAAAGCATAAAATGGGGGCAAAGAAGACTTTAGAACTGCTAAGCTATCAGAGCAACACGTTGGTCAGCCAAGCAGGAAGCGTTCATTTATACTGTACTTTTGGGATCAGGGGTAATTTTTCTCTCTTGCCAGGCATGTGATAAATGCTTTCCTTTTTTTTTTTTTTTCCAGCACTGGGGATTGAACCCAGTGCTTTTGCATTGGGCTATATCCCCAATCCTTTTAAAATTAATTTATTGTTTTCATTTAGAGAGAGGCCCTTGCTAAGCCGCTAAGTTGCCCGGGCTGGGCTCCAACTTGCAAACCTCCTGCCTCAGCCTCCCAGATCATTGGAATTACAGGTGTGCACTTTGATAAGGTTGTCAGGACAGTTACTGCCTCCCTAAGTCCAGCAGCTCAGGAGAAGGCCGAATGTACCCCACTAAAAGCTTAATATGGCACCTGCTGGCATAGATGACATCACCCACAAGACTGCTTCTAGGGTAGAACCTTGGTATTGTCACAAAACTCTTAGAAGAGGAGATGGGAAAGCTGCAGCTGTGACTTATCTCAGCTGGAGCAGAGGAGATGGTCTGAAGGTCAGAACAACAGCAAAAATCACCTCTGCAGATTTTGCTCCTAGTGGAACTAGTTTGAGTCTCAAGTTAAAGAGGAAAATAACCAACACTGATTCAACAGTTGACTTGCCAGCAGGTACAATAATTTATTACAATTAAGTATCTTTTTCCCCCTTGGGGTCCAACAGTTCTACCCCGGAATCCCTTGATTCTCCAACCTAGGGCTGCTGGGTTTTCTCAAACACCACATGGTTGAAGGAACTGAGTCTTCCATGTTGACGACTTTTTTCCTTCTAGTTCTACCACTTCCTGGTCACTTGGCTGCCTAGAACTCGGAACACGATTTGCTCCATACACCCATTACCAACTTCTCATTCACCTGTTGATGTTGTTTCAAGCAGGGACAATCAGAATAGATCAGCCAGCATGATTTTATGGCTTTTCTAACTTGTTTGAAAAAATCAGAGACAACTGGCTTACAGGATTTTTCTGGTTAATAACACACACGGGAAGGGGAAGTGGCAGGGGTGGGGGAAAGGAAAGAAGGGAATAGAATATGAGAAAATGAAAAAAAAGGAAACAAAGTCTTTGTAAATAGGGAGGGATGGGGGGGGTTGAAGGGAGGGCAGGGGAAGGGGGAAAAATAAGAACCAAGGGAGATTATGTCAAGGTGCAAATTTCCAATGATGAATGTCATTATATTGTATACCTAAAATGTACCAATAAAATAAATAAAATTTAACAACAACAATAAAAATAACACACACAGTCCACAAGCCAAGAATGAGGAAGAGGCAGGGAGCATGTAAAACATACTGATGAGGCCCTTCGCACTGCTCAGGAGCAGGCCACGGTGCACGCAAGGCTGAGCTGAACAAAGGACGCAAGCTGCAGCTCCATTCAAGTGAGAATCGTCCAAGGGCCCAGCCCTCTCCTGTGCTCATTTACTCAATGCCCAGCTCTCGCTGACACTAAGGAAGAGCAGAGAGCATCTGACGTCAGGCTGTGGGCAGGGCTGTGTGTTCCCCGGGCAGGAGAGGCCAGGACTGAGGCTGTGTAGGGGAAGGGCTGCCACAGGGTCCCCTGGGCTATTGAGGAATTAGGCACGAGGGTCACCTTTGCACCCCACACAGGATCTCCCCTTCAGGAAAGTTGGACCAACTCCAACAAGCTTTGTCTGGCCATTCCAATTTGTAGATGTAGAATTATTTTGAAAACAAACTGCTGAAACAGTGCTTTGGATTTTGGATATCTTATTAATTATATACAGACATCCTTTGGTGTCTACCACAGATTGGTTTTCGGATGCCTTACGGAAGACAAAATTCACAGATGCTAAGTCTTGCTCACTTACTTTTCCATTAACTTAAAGTCATTTCTAGAGTCGTGTGAGGTATTATTGGTTATTTATATATAATGATTAAAGTCATATTGGGTATTACTTTTAACACCTAATTCAAACACTACGTTAATAGTTGTTATACTGTAATGTTCAGAGAACAAGAAAAATGTCTATACATGTTTGGTATTTTTTTGTTTTCACTTAGTGGCTGGTTGAATTTATGGATGTGGGACCCACAGAGAGAGAACCCAAAGATATGGAGAGCTGAGTGCCTATACAGATTTACAGATGTGCACATGTCCTACATAGATACAGATACACGCACACACATGTGTATACACAGAAAGATGGGGACTTTAGCATGAACCCCAACTGCTGGCTCCCAAACTCAGCAAAACAAGTCCAACCTTGGAAACGCACTATGCGTCTCACAGCAGAATCAAATACAGGTGGAGCAGGAAGCCTGGGTCCTAAGTCCTTGGGTTTCCGATGGCAGAACAGCCTATCCCCCTTTCTAAGCAGGAGGTGTTAAGCTCTATAAGCCAAGCAACTTTCACTCCATGTTCATTCCACCATCTCCTCCTCCCTGCCACCCTCGCATCCCTTCTTCACCCTCCGCCAACCACAAGACGCTCCTGGTCCTGAAGGAAGTTCAGACTACAGGAAAAGCTGGTCTCCAGGGGGCAGGGCCACACAGGACATTTCCAGGCCTCCTGTGTGGTTTCTGAAGCAAGCATGAAGAAAATAAAATACCCTCTCTGCTACGGTTAGAGGAATTCTTATGATCCTTCTCTTAAAGGCTTCAAGTAAGTATGACAACAGAGAGACACTGGAGGGAGCTCCAGACATCTAGCAACAGAAAAAAAGGCTGAAATTATGTAGCACTCTAAGACTGAATTGAGACGTTACTGTCTTTTGGGATAATGTGGGGAATTCTGTCTTTTCTGGCCACTGTGTTCATCTTTACTATGGATCCAGAACAACAGGTAATGATGTCACAGTGAGGGTGTGCACGTGCGGGGCCCACCGGGCCGGCAGACAGAATCACCCTTAACTTACAACTTCTTAGCCAAAAAAGAGGCCAATTATTCTTGGCTCCCACATGACCTCTTCAAAGTATACCCTGGAAATCTCAGAGGGCTCTTTCAAGCAGAACGATTTAAGAGACAGAGGAAAATAACAAAAGGGGGATCAGACCAAGGAGAACCCTGTTCAAACTGGGCAAGGTTTGCTTTTCCATTTTCTACTTCAAGATGCTTTGCCCTTTGGGAAGAATCTGACCCCTGTGCCCACCTTTCCTCTCTGGAAACCACCCACGATGGGAGGGTCCCCAGCTCAAGTCTGTCCTTGGATGCAGATCCTAACCAGGCACAAGCAGCTCTGATCTGACAGGGCCTTGAGAGAGATGTTGGGTTAGGGGACATTTTGACACTCTTAAGGGCACTGTCACACTCAGCCTTCTGCTGGCCTTTAAAGGAGCAGCTCACTGGTTCAGGGTCCTTCATTTGTATTTCAGCTATGACTCCAGCCCCCAGCCCGCAGACACAGACACGCTCTATAAGCAGGCCGTTTTCCCCACAACTTCCTGTGCGATGACAGAGGCCAGGCCATGCTTTAAGGGCTCATCTTCTGACCTCTCTTCAGGGTCTGACTGCACAGGAGGGGCTGTCCCATCTACAACCTCACGTCTAACACCTGACTTTCTATTAATAAGCACACACATGGCTTCTTGTTTCCAGCCTGGGAAACCTTCTTCCTTCATCCAGCAATCTCTCTCAAGCACCTAAAATGTCAATGCTATTGTATGAGGCCTGGAAGATGTCCTAGCACTTGAGTAATTGCTCAAATGAGCCTTTTGCATTTGGGTCCCCTGGGATATCACCCGCGGCGACCTATCAGCAGCAAGTATCCACACTTCAGTCCCTCACTTCCCCCTGCAGAACAGAGTCCCATAAAAGTGTTATGTGAATTTACATTCACACTTAGCACACAGAACAGAATATAAATCTGCTCTGGATTAGTAAGTGTATCACAGGCACATACAACATTATAGGCAACTCTTGGTTCAGGGCACGTCTCTACCTTATGGAGGAGACTATTTATGCCCTAATCAATAAAAACTCAAAGTCCCAGCTGCATGCTGTGCTGTAACAACTATATGGTAAGCTTAGAAACTCATCTGTATTTTGAGTTTTGTGTTGGAACACCTTTAATTTCCCTTTTTTTTTTTTTTTTTGGTACTGGGGATCGAACTTGGGTCCCTCCACTTGCAAGGCAGGCGGTGCAACCACTGAGCTAAATCCCTGGCCCAGTACACCTTTAATTTTCTAGCCTAGCTCCTTTCAATTCCATTCAATATCTTTGCCAAAGCCCACTCTGAAGTCATGCACCTTGGAGATAGCAATGATGTATGCTGCAATTCAAAGACCTCTCAGGGAGCTACACACAGAAAGAAAACTGACCAATAATGTAGGAAGCAATAAAACAATTTTTTTTTTGAAAAGCGCAAGTTTCATAAAATGTTAGTGCTAGAACGGAAGAGATCTCGGAAATGGACTATGCAAGCTCTCTTTGGCAGACGAGCCATCCACGCATCTGGTTGCCATGGGTGATCAGAGGAGTCCTCCTCCCAACTCCTGTCTTCTACTCTATCAGAGATGGCTTGCAGCACACCCTGACCCTCTGTCTTGGCTAATATTTATGTGCACCATGTACAAAATACAGCTAATGTCCTTTATGGAGCACTCATGTAATCAGTGGGTGAATGAAGACATTAAACTTAATGGGAGGTGAAAGAAAAGTCAGTAAATGGGAGAGGCAATGGGCTTGGGGGGTGGGAGAGGGGCTGGGCTTGGGTGCTCAGGGCAGCATTTCCTCTACTCTCCAAGGCTCTGGGAACTGATCATAAACTATCCCAGGAGAAGGAGCTTTTCCCACATAGTGCTCATTTCTGGAAGGTTAGACTATAAATACGTTTGAAATATACCTGTATGTTTTTCTCTTGCTTTCAAGGAAGAGTCCGTGATTTATTCACTGTGAGGTCTCAAAACAACTCTTTTTCTTCTTTTCCTTTCTTTTCTCTCCCTAAAACTTTCCTTCATTAAACCAGAACCATGACAGATGAAGTCAGTGGAATATTTGAAGGCATGTAAAGGTAAACAGAATTGTCCAGATTCTTTTCCTTTCTGAATTAATCATACCACAGAGAACCCAAGTGACAAACTTTTTTCAAGATCCTCAAGGAAACTTAAACCCATTTTGATCTGTTCATAATCAGCAACCCACTGAGTCACCTGTATTTCTAAGGTAAGGTGAAGATCAATTAATACAATCCTAACAAATATTAGGCAAGTGTATCTCCCGAAGGCACTGCAAGACATTCCACTGCCCTAATATCTGCACCTTGGGACCAGATGTGTAAAAGTTCACGTGGAAGGAGGTGGGACCATCTCCGAGGATGCTGTGGCTCAGAGACAAAAACGGATGTGCCCAAGATCACCCAGAAAGGAGAAATAATGACTATCAACTTGGCTTTGATTTTAAACATTACCTTGTGGGCCACCCCCCTTACCCCAAGGTTTTAACTTCAGATTGGTGAAACAAGATCCTTATTCAAATGTTTTCCAAAAAATGTTCTCCTCTAAGACAATGCCTTTATAATTCAACATAATACGAGTGGAGTGAAGCTAGTAGGGTCCTGCTGTGTGAACCAAGGCCCAGGTGGACAACAAAATGTTGGTGACACTTCTCCCAATGGCACAATGAAATCATTAGATGATGGCCTTCCCACGGAAGGTCTGCCCTATGGGATATCTTGGTCCATGCTCCCCAGAAGTCGCTCTGTCACTGGATGCTGAACACAGCTCATATATGTTTGCTTATATCTCAGTTCAAATAGTACTATGTTTTGGATCTTCAATGTCTCCTAAAGGCCCGTGTGTTAAAGGCTCAGTCCCCAGCTTGGTGCTAACAGGAAGTGGTAGAAACTCCACGAGGTGGGGCCTAGAGGGAGTTCTTCAATCACTGAGATGGTGCCCTTGAAGGGATATTAGGGCTCTGTCTCCTTCCTCTCTCTGCTTTCTTGTCCCCGTGAGGTGAAGAGCCAAGTTCTACTGTACACTCTCACCAGGACGTGCTGCCTTGCCACACTCTAAAGGCCGTGGGGCCTACCAACAACAGACTAAAACTACTGGGGCTGATTCTTCAACCTTCTCAGCAGCTTGCTGCCTCGGAGTAAGGCAGGAAGAGGCAAATGCTGAGAATGCCGAATGGGGGCAGAGTTGTACCAGTAAAAAGGAATACGATCCTGAGAACACCTACGAACCCAGGACCTTGAAGACAGAGAATGGGGTCCTAAATAGCATGGGCCTCCCACTATGCTTTGTAGTTTGATAAGAAAATTTCTACCACTCGGGAGCCGGGGGACACATCTCCCTACTCACTTGGTAACAGAGTAAATGAGTAACCAATCATCAGCAGTCAAGTTGTCACAGGATGGAAAGAGGAGCTCAAGTGACATTCCAGACAGGTGCCCGAGGGCCTGTGAAACTTGAGTTACTTAGAGTCTCTCTTAAATAAACAACAGTCATTGTAAACACTGGCTTCACCAAAGCCTGCTTTCACATTCCATCTCTCAAATTTCCAGAAGAATGAGGAATATGATGATATGGTAATAAAAGCTAGTAATTTACCCTTTATTCTCCAATAGCAGCTAAGTTCTTGATATGACTTCTGTCACTTAATTTTAATAACTCATGGTTTTGATGATAAGGAATAGAAATGGGATTAAATAACTTGTTCAAATTTTCACAGCTAGAAAATTTGGCAGCTGAAGTAGAACTTGAACCCAGTTGGGGCTAATTCTAAAATCCAGTCCCTACCTTGGCACCCAGAAGGGTATTTGGTACGCAGTATGTGTTTCATAAATATTGGTGACTAAATGGATAAAGTGGCTAAGATACAAGGTGTGGCCAATCAAATGGCATATTCTGTGAGCTTCATTCTTCACCTAAATTGGTTAAATACAACTTAGTCATTTAGCATAGCAGAAACAGTCATTATAGTCAAACCATGGCTTGGGGTCGATACTTGCTACTCAGGAATAAATGACTCTAAGTTGGTTTGACATTTATTTTCTAAAACCAATTCAGCTCTGCTCGGATATTTACTAATCAGCACAAGATGGCTACCAGAGAAGGGGCTCTGTCCCACAGCACTGCCTCTCTATGCAAAATACAGCAATAGTAAAAGGAAAAAATTTAAAAGCATGGTGTATTAGTCAGTTTTCCTGTGGCTGAGACATAATAGTTGATTACCCACAAATTAAAAGAGGAGAGGTTCAATTTAGCTCACAGTTTGGAGAAATTTGGTCCACTATTGGCTGGCTCCAAGGCAGGAACGTCCTGGCAGAAGGGTGTGGGGGAGGAAAGCTGCTTAGCTCATGGCGACCAGGAAGCAGAACAGGGAAACAGCTCCGGAGAGGAAGGGGCCAGGGACCATATATAGTACCTGAGGACACGCCTCCACGATCCACCCAGACAAATGCAGGAGCATACTCCACTCATCTGCTAAGGGTTTTTTAAACCAATGAAGTTGACAAGGGAATTGTAGTTATGAGCACATCGTTTTTGAATTAAGAAAGACAGTTTTGAGGCTATTTTAACAGCCTGCAGATACAAAAAAAGAGTCCAAGTCCCTCCTTGTTCCTCCTCCTCACGTGCGTTCTGTGGTTTTGAAAACAACTAAGTACTGGTTTTACAGAAGTTTCATGAGACTGTCCGCCCCCTGCTGGCCTCCTGTGGAAGCTGCCTAGGCTGACAACAACATAGGACATGCTGGATGAGAAGTCAAAACAAGGAACAGGCTTAAGGTGGTTCTAAAGCGTGCTTTTGGCATTGGAAAAAATCAACCCTTCAACATTCAGCTGGGGCCCGGTAATGTCCTTGGGCTGCCACGAGTAGACATCAAGTCGCCGAAAGTGTATGAAGAGCTTGAAGTAAAGAGGCGAGAGCCAGTGTAACCCAGGGGCTCCTACTTTCTGTGAACCTGGGCAAGTTAAAACCTCTTTCTACTACCTTTCTTTCCTCTATTACCAACAATTCTGAAATACTGTGACTGTACTGCACCCAGAAGTAATGTCTCATCCCTGGAGGAATTTATAACCTAGATGATGATGTGACCAGTTTCCATGAGCCAACTAAAGAGCCAAGCAAGCGCTGAGAAGCCCTCTACGGAGGAGGGGAGCCTGCAGTGACCTCTGAAGAACATATCTGTTTACTAAGGTGAGGAGCAGGTGCACAGAACAGTCCTCTCCCATACCTGCTTTAGGATTTCTCACTAATCCCTCATCGGTTCTGTCGAGCTTTTCTGATGTAGCAATATTCTGGCGACTGATTCAAGCAGTGATTTGTCTAAACCTGCGTAAAAGTGCTTTCAGACCTATTATTTAGCACTTTACCTCACTATGCAAAAGTCCAAATATATAAAATAGTGCGATTATTTTCTTTATTGAATTACTCTTATTTTCCAACGTTTGCATCATCATGTGGTTTCTTCAAATTCTGAACCTTTAATGAACTACATGCATATTAGATCACAGGTAAACAACATCTGGGGAGCAAAGAGAAGTTTCAAGAAGTCTCTTCCTATCAGCTTCTTTTGAACGAGAAGGACCACTGCTAAAGGTGTAAAATACTTCCCAAACAAAAGGCTGAAGGGTGTGCTCTTGGGGAAAGCAATATCACATGCATAATCAATAATAACTAAGTTCCATATCTTTTTGACTCCAGGGTACAGCTATCACTATTAGCACATGTTACTTCAATATTGATATTGAATTACATTCAATTAAATTCAATGATCTGGCACAAATGAAAACTATATGTGAAAGCGGGATGCATTTTATTGGTAGTACTCAGTGAAAGTCCTTGAGGTGGCTATGCTTGTTTTTGTTTTGGAAACAGGGTCTCACTATTTAGTTCAAGTTGGCCTAAAACTCAGGATCTTCCTGCTTCAGCCTCTCGAGTGCTGCGATTACAGGTATGCACCACCATGCCCGGTTAATGACATGGTTGTTGCTGAAATCTAGAGAGTTTGCCTATGATTGTGGCAGCATAATCTGGTATTTTCCAGATTCTTCTAGTTATCTTCTTAAAGGGTAAAACAAAAATCTTGCAGGCTGCCCGCAGGATTTAGGATACTGAGGAATGTGAACAGATAGGAAAGAATGAGAGACAGCAGAGATACAGATCATTGACAAGGTTCAGAGATAATCAAACTCCTGCCCGTAACTGATCTGGCTCACAGTGTATAGGGAAGGAATGTGAATTTCAGTGAAAGTCCTGCTGAGATGGACCTCATCACACTTTTCTGAGACTGTCTTACAGGGAAGTGATTTATCCACCCACTAAAGTTCAAAATCATTTGATTCATAAGAACCAACACTAATGTTTCCCACAAGTATGTCTCACATCCCTTTGCAGATTCTCTCTTCTTGAGGTTAACATCAATGTGCTGATTCATGTCTTCATCTCCAGGTATCTTGTTTGGGGGAAGCACTCAAGAAATACTAGTTGAATGTGTTACTAAATGTAAGAAATGTAGATTGCTGTATTAGGGCAGTAAAAATCTTGTTGGATTGTGTAGGTAAATCCTGAGGTTGCATAAAATTCATCTGCAAGCAGATTAACAGAAATATTGATTCCCTGAATTGTGAATTGTACAAGACAACCGGCCAATAGCAGAGAACCTTCTAAAAGACTTCTCTTGCTATGCATGTTTCCAAGGGTTCAGGCCACAATTTGCATCCCGAAGCTCAAAAGTGCAAAAGTTAGTTTGAAGTAAGTCATGTTTTAACAGTGAACCACTATTAGGATCGGATAAACATCCAGCTTAAGGTACCTTCCTGTGAGTCCTTATCTACCCAGGGTTCCAACTGCATTGCAACCTTTGATGCCTTATCTCAGAGGCCCATAATTAAGGCTACATACACTCCTCTCTGCTTATGTTGAGCCTAAAACTTTCCCTTTCCCCAAGAAACAAAACAAAACAATGAAACAAGCCCACCAAGCAGCTAAACTGAATTCAAATATCCATACAGTTCTATCCATGACAACTGGCTCAGTTTTTCAGCAATTTCACTTCCAGGGCTCCCCATTCCCAAGGACAATGGGAGAAAACAGGCTCTGATGTCACAAACTTCGGCACCTCTCATGGAGTTAATTAAATCTCCTAGGACTCCTTCACCCACACCCTAAGAAATTTGAAGGGTGTGCAAAATCTAAACGCAATTCAACACCATCAAAATAAAAGCCCTTTAACATATAAAACTCAATCTTGAGTTTCTTTGTCTCTTTGCCCCCCACAGAGCAGTACATTTCCAAATTCCCTAAAGGTCATGAGTTTGGCAGTGGAACAATACATCCCCAGAGCGACTGCCTGGTGAGAATTTATCCCTCTGGCCTATGCTGTGGGGTTGTTGTCTCTCCTGGGTGCTGCAGATGTCATCAGAGAGGACAGAAACTCACCCTCCGGGGAGATGGGGGATCATCAGGTGCCTGCCATCAGGTGCCGGGAGGCACAGAATCAGACCTTTTGGCATCAGGTGCTGCCCTCCAGGGACAGGGGCAGGAAAGCCCTGAGCTTCTCTAGTCTTAGGGTAATTACGGTTTTTTTCACTCCCTGACCTTGGTTGAGGTCACCTTATCCATGAAGGAGAAGGGGAAGGAAAGAAGCACTTGCTGAATACTTTATTTTAATGTGGCGGTCATGACACTGCCAGCTTAGTCCTCAGGCCACTCAGCACAGCAGAGATGATCACAACATACAAATGCAAACTGACGCGCAAAAAAGCTTCTTCAATGTGACGCAGGGAGTTCATTATGGATGCTCGAGTCAAACCCAGGCCTGTCAAGTTCTTAGGTCCAGTCCGAACCACATACACTGCCCTTCAAAAACCAAAAGTGGATTTTTAGGTAAAAACATAGCTTGTCTGTTGAGGCTCTAGACCCATCCTTTTTGTTATAGATTTGGGCTATAACATGTGCCTAATACACAGAGTTTGGTCCCTGGACTATGAGTTTATGTCTGTAACGTGGAAAACCAATCCTTTTCAGAAGCCTACGTAGCAGTGATACTGCATACAACAAATGTTTATAGAGGGGTGAATGAATGTGACTCACTGGGTGAGAAAATATATCAGTTAATAAGTGAATGCACGAATGAAGGCTGACAAGCCCATACTAGGACTGAGTCAGCAAAGCTGGCCTTTTCCATCACTATAATGAAATGCCCAAAGCAACGAACTTAGAAGGAAACAAGGTTTTAGCTCACACTTCTAGAAGTTCAGTCCAAGATCAAGTGGCCTCTTTCCTTTGGGACCTTGGTGAGGGTAGTACATTATACTGGGAATGCAAAGTAGAACAAACCACTTAGACCATGAGGCAGAGCACAGAGAGGAAGGACAGAGTAGGATGTCACAGTCCCCTTCATGGGGACAAAGGACCTCCCACCAGGCCTCACCTCTCAAAGGTCCCTCAACTACCCCACAGTGCCACCTTGGGGGTTTTTGGGGGACTCTCATCCAAATGCAGTACCCATCCTGGGACTGGATTGGCAGCATCACCCTTTGGAAAGCAGTGCATGTTTATTACCATGTCATGAGCCATGTGGTGTGATGTTATGGTGTTTGAAGAAAGCCTTTGTGTGGGGTGGTGGTCTGGTCTTTTTCACAGAAAGGCACCCACCTTATATGATGCTGATTTTTTTTTTTTTGGGTACTGGGAATCAAACTCAGGACCTTGTGTGTACCAGGAAGGTGGTGGCACTACTGAGCTAAATCCCTAGCCCCAAAACGATGCTGATTTTTAACAGCCACTCAACTCAGCCCGAAGCCCAAATCTCCTTTGGAAGTACCTAGGTTAGGGACAAATATGAGAGAGGTAGCTATTTGGGCAAACAAGAGCTATTTAACCTTCCTACAATGCAGTTCTAAAACTGAAATATTCTCACAGTCAGAAAGTGGGAGGGCCTTGGATTCAGCTCAGTGGTTCTGCTGCCTGCCTCGAAAGCACAAGGTCCCGAGTTCAATCCCAGTACCAAAAACAAAAAGGGGGAGAAAAAAAAAATCAAACACTGCTCCACTTTTAATTTTGAAAATGAAACAATGATTGTAGAAGAGATGTCTAATCTGGAAGATAAGGAGCTAATTTCTTTCTATAGCTTCAGGAGCTAATTAAAAAGTGAGGAGGCAGTGATTAT